GGCCCAGGGGCCCGTGGGTCACCGAGGGGCTCGGCGGGCACGGCCGGCTCCCCGGAGCTGCCGTCAGTGCTGCTCCTTGGTGGAAGGGCACGAAGCGACGGGCAGAGCGGGGCCAGCAGCAGGGCCGGGCAGATGGATCCTCTTTCCCCAGTACTGCTCTCTAATTAAATATGTACAAATTGCTGTACTGTGTCACTAACAAGTCTTTATCTGCTTTGGGCTGCCCTGCCCGATGAGGTGCGGGGGAAGGTGTGCTGCGGGGCTGATCTCGGGGTAATCTCTGCTTCGTAATTCCTGTTGGATGCCTCAAAATCGAGGGTTTAGATCCCTGTCAGCGTTCCTTACGAGCTTTATCCCAGCACCAGCTGATCTTATTCTGCATCTCAATGTCAGGTTGTTCCTTACGAGCTTTATCCCAGCACCAGCTGATCTTATTCTGCATCTCAATGTCAGGTCTCGAGCTCTGCGAAACTTTTGCTCCAGGGCTTCGCAGAAACAAAGCCCGGGGGGCTCCGTGCTGCCCTTGGATTCCGCCGTGAGCAAGGGGAGAGGGCGGGAGGCTGCCGGAGCTGTGCAATCTGTTTCGAGGTTGTGCAAAGAGCCGCTGCTTGCACAAGGGCCCTTGCCTCACCCCGGGACCGCTGCCGGGAGCTCACTGGCGTCGCTGGGCTGCGTCCGTCTGCTGCTGGCGTGGGGGGGCGGGCAGGGCGCTCCCCCCCAGCTGCCTGCGCTGGAAACCCCTTTGGTGGGCAAAAAGGCTTCACCCTGCCAACCTCTATTAATAAAAAATAAATAACAGAGTAAGCTCCGACCGTGGAGCGACGGAAGGTGTTGTTGAGAGTCCTGGCTGCTTTCGGAGGTTCCCGGGGGTGGGAAGGGGGTGTGTGATGAGGTGACCCCTCCGAGCAGCCTTCTGGTGAGGAGCAACTGGAGCATAAATCTTGTAACTGGAGCTGAAGGTCAGGGGGGAAGGGAGGGCAGAGCCCGCCTGCAAGGCTTTTGATTTGTTTTCCTTCGTTCGCTAGGAGAAGAAGAAGAAGAAGAAGCACAAGAATAAGCAGCCCTCCGAGTCGGACTCGGACAGCTCGGACTCGGACAGCGATGGGGCTAAGCCAGCTGGCAAGAGGACCAAGCATTCGGGGAAGCCCAGCAAGGCTCAGAAGAAGAAGAAGAAAAAGAAGCACAAGAAGAAGCCGCGGGACTGAGCGGGCAGGCGGGCAGGGGTGCCGGCATCGCGACTGCCCGGTGCACACCACGAGGAGCAAGCGGAGCTGAAGCCACGCGCCCCTTGCTCCGGGGACAAGGAGCTTCCCTCTCCTCGGAGCAACGCTTGGCGTGCGGTGCTGCAGGTGTTGACTTTGACACGAGTTGTCCTCTGTTTCCTCAGGCGTTGGCTGCCGTCTGCTCCCACCCGTGGGCCTGCATGGCACCAGC